CCCCCCCCTCTAAATCCGCCACTGTACACTGGCTGTGAGTTAGTTGTAGAACGGAAATGTGGCGTACCAGATTGACGACCACGGCCATAGGTAGCGGGCCTGGATGGACGGAGTCTGGCCATTCCTGTAATGTACACACTGGGAATAGAATGGGTAAATGTCGTCTACCTGAGTCACGCTCACTGCGTCCAAAATTGAACAGAAAATCATGCCAAGCTCCAGCCTCTAAAGTCTACGCTGGACATTTTATAAGTGACTGAGTTCTTTATAATTCTGCGGGATAGAATTTTATATATCTTGTCGGGCAGCGATGTTAGTGGGAGTCAAAATCTAAAATCCTTTTCATAGAATTCTCGACGCGCCCAGATTCCTGGGTATATCATGTAATCAGTCAAAATCTATAATTATTTTTATTAAATGAATCCCTAAATGCAAATATCCTCCAACACCAAATGTTATGGATTGATGGATTATTTCCATTTCTTTTTGGTAAAAAATGGGAGATAATTTCATCGCTTATTATTTAGTAATGATGATGACGCCATCTGTCAGTATAAGTCTATATCCTAACATGTTTTGTGAGACCTTAAATTAACGAATATAAGAACATTATATTTGCTTATGTAAAATCTTATGAAAGGACTTAAACCTATTTTTCATAGATTGCATCAATATAAATATGTCTTTACGGTAGTTTAATCTTTTTCTGAATTGTTAATTGTCTGTTATGAAAACCACATTGCTTGAAAATTGATGTAAAAGATGTCAGTTACTAACAGCAGAGTCATCAAATTGCAACTGAGTTGACGATTTCTATTGAATTTTACGACGTTCAACAAAGCATTGTAATATGTCGCCCTCTTCAGTGTGCAGTGATATAGACTAAAGCGTTTGATGGTCGTTAATGTTGGAACTTGTTTGGCAGGAATACAGCTATTAAAAGTGGGTCATGATCGTGTCCTGATGTTTAACTTACTTCAAAGTACAGCTGACCAGCAGTGCCCTCTATCAGGGCGACAGATTGATTTTTCACAGATATTCACAGATATGTCTCTAGATAAAGAGACAGTCATTTTGGTTTGGATTTTTCCGTTTTTCCCTATATAATCTGCCACCTTTCTAGAGGATACACCAACAGTTTCGCTGGTATTCTATAACTGCATTGCTGCTGAGACCACTGTGAATAAAATAGACAGTACACTTCACGTACATGTACCTCCTCGTCTCCTGGAGTGCAGGAATCAACGGGCAGTTTGAGGCGGGGAGGTGGGGCGGGGGGGTTGAATATCCAGAAACATGCAAGGAGAAATAACAGCAACTTTATTTTACATGAAGTTGGATATCGGTTTGCGTGTCTCAACTAAAACATTGGTCGATATAAGAACTATAGAAAACCTAACCTGGTCAAAGACAGATTAGACATCCCGTACTTAGGCCTACTCATATCTATAAGATATTTGAGACAGCTTTTATAAAAAATTAAGTTAACTGTAATGAAATATGGATATTCTATTATGTATTACATTTTGTGCATAAACGCAGCAGTGCATTGTTGTTTGGTACATCATCACGCCAATCATGACCAAAGTTCGTTGCGGCAAACTTCCAAAGAGAGCGCGTGTCGATGCGGGTAGTAATGTTGTAGGGATGTTATAAGATGGAGAATTGGAGTGTTTGACATAAGAATAAGAAATTAAAATCTAGCGGAATTGAGCCAAAAAAGCATTTCAGCAGCTCGAATGTGAAAACTGAATCTCTGGTGGATATCACTTTCACCTTGCTGGTTAGTGTAACAGCTGACGCTGCACTTTCTGTGTGCGTGTATGAGATAAACGCCGCGTCTGAGCTTTTTAATCCTATGAGCGTTTGGCAGAGATATTCAATAGACAAAGAAAAATTATGTATGTGCAATTTGTCTTCGGTTAGCTGGGGTCTCGGTCTGTAATGTTACATTCTAAAACTGATATAAGTATACGTGCTGGATAATTCAATAAATGAACGGGACGCCCCTTCACCGACTGGAGCGCTTGTAATTGGAACAAAGTGATGAGCTCCAGCATTTTATTTAACTGCTTAAAAATAATTATTTTAGTATACCTGCAAATGTTTCAAAGTGATGACTTATATTGCATCCATATTAATACTAAATATTATTATAATTATTATTATTATTATTATTATCTTTGAATTAACGAACCAACAACCCAATATACCCCAGGTAACTGTAGGCTGCTACCTGTCAGTTTGGTAAAGGGGCACTGCTGGACGTGAGACGTAGCCCCAACCACTGCCACTCAAACCTCAGCTGACATGAGGCTGACATGAGAGGGATGGGACGCAACCGGAACCTGCTACATGAACACGCACGGATTATACCTTACCTCCGTAGGCTTCGCCGTTATTATCATTTTAGTGCAAATTGACAGGCAATCCATTCTTCATTTTTAAAATGAAATTTATTTAAAGGTAGTTGAAAAAGCGAGGAAGAAAACATTTTATTCTTACAGTTACACGTTTGTTTTGGTCAAAGTAAATATAACAATGTCATGCAAAACCGCCGCCCCCTCTTGCAGATGCTTTGACATTTTAGGAATATTTGCAGTACCGGCCAATGCACACTTTAACCAGGACATTCAGTACCTCAGCACCTGTGTCAACTACATTAGTTTTGGATCAATCGTTCGTTAAACGACATAAGACAATTGTCTCATAGTCCACTTTAGCAGCCTGGACTGACGGGTGACTTCGTGTGGACTAGATTCAATCTCCACGATTCACTGATACTTGGTTTTCGAGGCTTGTGCGCATGAAGCAAATTTTAAGTACACTGTAACTCTCAGAATTGTTCTAGTGTGACAGAAATGGTAGTCTGCTAGGAACCGTAGTCCGTTCCCCATTTCTCTGTACAGGTGACATTCGTTCCATATATTTATCCCAATACTCCGACTAACCCTAATCTGAAATAATCATATTGGAACCCTGGACTACCATTCCTAGGACTACCATGCCTGTCACACCGACTCCAAAGTGATACAGAGCATGAAAATTCTACTGTAGATTTTTTACGTAACTTTGTCGGTTTAGGTAGTATTTTAACCAACCCCTATTGGACATTTCCTTGTCTTCGGGTTCAAAGAAAATGGCAGTTACAGCTAGGACGTAGTCGCCCTAACAACCGATTTTAGGTGCATAATGTATGATCAAAAATCAAAATTATGATCAGAAAGTATAGCTTGTCCTCAAATAGATTAAACAAGAATAAGCTTTTGTACTTCGCACCTGTTAAAGATCCTACACTTTGCCACTTTGATATAATCATCCGTCCATCAAATTATGACTCTGTATAAGTTTGTATTAGTCATAACTCAAAACGTTTTTAAAAAAATGTTATTCATTGTATTTTCATTTGTAAAAGTATTGACATAAACATATAGGTATTTTGCTTTTAGCATATGTTACAATGTATGTGGAATGCATAAAAATACGAAATGCTAAAAATAATGAAATGCAATCTTCAGGCCTGCTCCGCCGATATGTACTGTATGTTAAGTAAAATACTGCTTATAAAATGTCACATATGGCGTGAAGAAGATGCCTTTCTCTGTCAGTATACATAAATAAAAAACAGAATGTCCTAAAAAAGGAAATTCATGGTGATCACATGTTTTTGGAGAGCACGACATGTATCACAAGCGAGTGTTGTCTGTCTCTTCATTGACCGCCTGACCATTGTCGTAATTGAAATCTGGCGGCAGTGGTGGTTTATAAAGCTTCCATGCCAGCGTGACGAATAACAGAGACGTTGTCTTTAACACACCGCAGACTATCAACATGTGCACACCTAGCGACCAGTTGTCGTAAAAGAGGCAAGCACTGGTTGTTGATTCATCGCATGTCGTCTGCCACAGAAGACATGTTTTATCGAAGAAATGCCCGAATGCAATGCCACCGGGGATAAAACCTGAAAGAAAAAAGTAACGAAAGTAGCGTCTTGAACAAAATAGTGGATATGTTTGTGTACCATAGCTGCCATTATTATACAGAAAGTATTTCCATCTGAGGGAAATATGCATGAAATGGACTCATTCAAACAAAATCTCACCAAAAAGAGTTTCTTATACAGGCAATTTGATGTGACGATAATTTTCAAAGAGGAATATTGTTTGATCAGTTGGAAACGACAAAAGTCAACTCCTACCAAAACTCCTTAGAAGAATCCACTGGACGGATATCCCGACTGCCCTCTCTGAGCTCGGGATTGATCTGAAGGGAAAAAGAAAATCGGCTTTGTACAAAAATCATTGAACGTGAACCTGGGCGTCAGGGAGATGGTCTAACACAATTACTTTAGCCCAAAAATCGGTCTAAAATTTTAAGTCTCTTTATCAATATTTCATTCTCCTTATCACTTCGTCCACTGTTTGGTTGAATCTACTGGTAAACAGCCATGTGTAAACTTTGTTCAATTAACCATCTACTATCTAAATTGTATTTAGAAGCCGAACAGGTGTTAGTTACAGCATTTATGAGACGCTTTCTTTGTGCGGATGGCGGTCTTTATTACGTACAGCGTAATTTCTACGACATTTCCGACGTCGAGTCGACGCTATGTGGTAAATAACTCGCCAAGAAGATAAGGAGTTGGAAGGAATAAAAATGAATACCTTAACGTTCCCATAATTCCGCAAACACTGGCGGCAAACACCAATAACATAAGTATGAGGAGTATGGCCAGATAGCCGACCAGTGGCGCCACTGGACACAGGCCAGTACAGGCATTGTCTACGGCAGTCGCATTCACTGATGGTCTCGCTGCTACACATCTGCAGTTCGTATACGTCTAAACAAAAACAACAATTGTTCAATAACTGAAAAACAGGCCTACCCAACTACTATACCAGACTCGGCACCGAATGATCCTGAATTCACCGGTAGATCAGACCACACTACCCGTTTTCAAGGTGTGCGTCAGTACACGCTTTGTAGTATCAGACGCGACACCGCTTTTGCCCAGTACGCGATGTGATAGTGATGATTCTCAGCGGGATTGGAAAGCAGTGCATCTCATCTCAAAATTTGTTCCGGGGTATGATACTGTGGAATGCGTACCGACACACAACTTGAAAACGGGTATGGTGGTCCGATCTACCGGTGAATTCGGGATCATTCGGTGAAAAACGTAGTCTCTTAACTTGTTTGTTAGTTGCCAGCAATTTAGAAGTAAGAATCACAGATCCTTAATGTTCAAGTACGTAAAAATGTGCAACTTTTGAGGCGTCAGATTCATTATTTCATTGTAACAAAGGCACATAACAGAACCCTTGATGAATTACATCAAGATTCATTCAAACGGGAAAATCCAAAGAACGGTGTTCTGTTATACACGCTACAGTGATGGTGTGCGCTGTATCTTATACCCCCTTTACACTGGACGGCGTCCTTTCGGCGTCCTTTCTGCGACCGTGAATTTTGGCATTGCTGTGGTCTTAATAAGGAGACACGAGCATTGATTTTGTATCAGAATGAATGCTCAATGATCGGCCAGTTGTCGGCACGTAAAGTATTATAATTTTTTAACTCTCAAATGGGGCCGTACTGCTGGACGCAGAAAGGACGCCGTCCAGTGTAAAGGGGCCCTTACAGTCGCGAGATTTCATTAAATGCATGTGATAACAAGGAGTTGAAACTCCTTGGTGACAATAACATCTAACACTGTACCTTGGCGCCCCCTATCGTGGTCCAGTTGAGACAGCCTGCGTGGCAGGGGGAGTAGTAGGTGACCAGGTCTGATCCACAGATAGGGTTGTACTGGAGATCAGAGCAGCCGCAGTCTGTGTTACATACACTGGTGAAGCCAACGTCACTGAAACAAGATATTCTTTTTCATGATTTCTTATCCATACCTATGATATTTAAAAAAATTTTATATTGTTTTAAATTTTTAGTTTTAAATTTTTTAATTTTTTAAATTAAAACAAAAGCAAACTTCGGTCACAACAATAAGAAAAAAAAAAGATTAAGTCAAACTAAATACATAAGTCAAACTAGGCCTAACCATTATACTTAAAACTGTTATTACTAACATGGGATTGACAGCATGCATCGTTAATTACATGTATCTTGGATACATTTCAATATTGTTGTTTCCTATACACCCTTGTTTCTGCAAACTTTTGCAAACCTCAATGAAACAAACCCCAACTTAGACAACATGGAGATCAATATCCCTGCATGTGCTACCCTGGTGCAAGACCGAATCTAAACATCTTAACTCACTGTCTCAAAACATCCAACCATCATTATATGATTTTCACACTTGAGTTTTGACGACAGTTCATTCCTATCGGTGGCGGATTTAGAGGGGAGGGGGGTGAAGGGGTCCTGACCCCACCTTCGATTTCTGAAAAATATATCACACCAGTATTCCCCTCTTGAAATTAGAATTTTGGCTAGCTAAATCATAGTTCTAAACCATACCAAAGGGCACTGTTTGCTCTCCAAAACACCATTTTTGTCGGGGCCGTTAAGCAGGCCCCAAACCGCACACAAAGGGGGCAATGGTCGGCTTCGCATCCGAGGCCTGTCGTTCCGGACCCTTCAAATAATCCTGGATCCGCCCCTGCCCTGGCACTGTGAGGGCGTTCGGAACTATTTTATCCACGCTTTACTGCAGTAAAATAAACTAACAAAATAGTTACAAGAGCGAAGTAGCGGTTTGTTTGTTGAAAATGTCTAGAGAATAGTTCACAGTAATATTTTTGTTCACAGTAATATTTTTGTTTCCCATCCACTTATTATCACGGGTCCTTGCTAACATTTAGCTAATTAAACCACCTACTTCAACCACAACACGAATGTCACCTTTAATGAAGATGAATTAGTATCGTTTTATTTATTTATTTAGCAGAAAGTACACTTTGACAGTAAAAGAATCTGTCAATATTCCAAACATAATTCAAAAACATTTATTCTTTCTTCTTCCACGAACATACTGGGGTACATAGTTGTACTAATTTTGAAATTCTTTTTACACAATAGTTTGTAATCTAGAGTGTCGTATTAGACACGCTGAAGGGTTCAGAAAGAGAACTAGTTTTGTAAACAGGTTGTATATATTCTCTTGAAATATTTTGCAAGTTAATTACTAACTTCTAGCGCTCTCTTTCGGCGTAACTATTGTTTCACAGCGAGAGAAATCACAGTGCGCGATGATTGACGTTTGTTTATATAACCTGCCAATCAAACTGTTATAACTTGACAGCAACTGTCAAAACTAACTGAATTTGATTGGCACCTTGTCAATCAAAGGATGTAAGAAGCTGGAACTTTACGTGTTAGACGACTTTAGTGATCCACTGTAATGATTGTGATTGACGTTTGTTTATATAACCTGCCAATCAAGCTGTTATTACTTGACAGCAGCTTTCAAAACTAATGAATTTGATTGGCACTTCGTCAATCAAAGGATATTGGAGTTTTACATGTTCGGAGAGAAGAGTGTAGTAATTGTGTTTGACGTTTGTTTAAAAAACTGTCATTCATAGTCGTGTGCGCTTGACAGCTTCCATCAAAGCTGAATTAACCTGTTTGAATTTGGTTCATACCTGCCTATAACAATACATGTCGTAACATTCTGGAGGTAGGCGGCATTTTATTTTCTTTTTTTGCAGCGCGTTAAAAAACGTCGGGTTCTTTATTTCAACCGACAGACAACATGGAATTTAACAACGTGAAAAAGTCTCAGGGTCTTGTACTAAAAATCAGTTGTCAATTTTTATTGGATATGATGTAAAATGACTCTACATGAATTAGTGTTGTTGTCGATGTATGTTACTTCATAATCCTTTCTTTGGTGCTCGTACTAAATCGGAACTTCGTATACGAACTGAACATATTACTTTAATCGTACTCATGTTCTTTTACACCCAATGAATATTTTTGGATCATTTTTAAAAACGAATGGTATAAAAAGTAAAACCTTGTTATTTTTTCATGTGCTACGGAGAGAAAAAATGCCGAGATAATGATGTTAGTGGCCAGGTAAAATTAAAAACTACCGGTTTTGTTCGTTCCTTATAAAGGGCCGAGGCAATAAGTAGCCCGTCTCTGTACATTGACATTAGCGTGCGTGAAAACTTGTTTTCAATTAAACTACACAATTAAAACTGACAAATCAAAACAATTTGATGCAATGCATTGACAGTACTTCGAGCTTTAATCTGCGATATATTGCTAGTACTTCATAAAAAAAATCCAGATTTCAATAACGTGTGAAAATTAATAAACTAATACTGGAATAAGTCTGGCTGGTTTAATCAAAGACTTGAACTTCTTGGTCTAATTTATTGAAGTTGTTCGTTCAATATTTTATACTGTATTTCATCAGATTGGTAAAAAAATATCTTTTCATTGTATATAAAATGAATGCTATGCCGTAAAAGAATTAATATTTGATCGAATATTTACTTGAAAACATACTTTTTTGTCTTATTTATTTTATTCTATCTTTTAAGTAAAAACCAAATTAATTCAGCATTAACAACATCATCTTTGCTTTGCCTCATGAAGCACATTCTACAATGTATGAAGTTTTTGTTCGAAGGGGCATATTATAATGTTATAGATTTATGGCATGCTTTTTGCAATTAATATTCTACGTGCAGTATATAGAAGTTTCATACCGCAAGTGACTCTAAAAATGAAGCCTTTTTCTCTCGGTAATATTTTTCAACTAATGTATCGTAGAGAAACATCCTTAACTTGTTTCTATAACCCAGATTAGGTAAAAACCTTCTGTAGTTTTGACCTCAGGTCGAGAAAAGTCGGTTTGTCAGCAGATAAGTCAAAGGGGTTCAAACAGGGGAACCGGGGGCGGTAGGCGAGTCTTGACATTCCTCTCTTTTAGTTCGTAAAGAAATGAAGTGCCCTCAGAAAATTGTACACGAGGCAACTTCATATCTTGGCTTCTGCTGTCCCAAATTAGAAATGCCCACTGATACCGAGCTTACTTAAGCCCCGATTTAAGGGTCATTCACAAGTAAACTCAGTACCGAAATGCCGTATAGTTCCATTCTTATTGTTCAACCTCCCTCGCTCTCTTCATTTATTTTAATATATTTTGATCTCTATATACGTAAGAATGATTTAGAATTTACTGGATGGGGAATCAGAAATTGATACAGGGTTGATATAAAAATTCGTTCCATTTTCTATAGAACTGGGTCTTTTTAATGGTAGATAGTAAAGCTTAATCATAGTTCTAAATCGTACCAAATGGAACCGTTCGCCCTCTAAAATCAGAGGCCTGTCATTCCTAAAAAACCGGACCCCCTTCAAATAAACCTGGATCCGCCCCTGCCTATGATATAAATCGTAATTTAGAATAATTTCATGGTGGTTGGGATTATAATTCTGACCCTCTCTCAGAGGACGGTGAAAGATGGTACGGATGACAACAAGGCTATATCAGGGGCGGATCCAGAGATATTTTCTGACAGTTTTGCAAATTATCTTTGTTGATCCATCCTCCATTTTGGACTGTCTTCCAACAGAAAAAAAATTAGATGCCCGTCGATGTAAAATTGAAAATCTGACCGTCTTCTGGAAGACCCAGAAGACGGCCTCAATCCGCCCCTGCATATTACCTGCCATTGTGATATCCCGTAGTAATCCCAGCAAACTCCAGATTTGGGCACTGTAGAAAAAACACTGGGACGAACAGGAGAGAAATGAAGACGAGAAAGAAATTTGTTTTCAGAATGGTCTTGCAGGTCATACGGTACCGCTTGATGACGATTCCACCTGCCACTGTCCCTCCCACCGCGCCGGGAATGGCGACTGCACCTGAAACAATAACAAAATCACGTTGACGAATAACAAAATTTTGAACTAGAGTGCACTTGAAAAGGGCAGACCTCCTTGTCAAGGAAAAAATTATATTTTTTTATCATAGAAACCCTGATTCTGAATTCTAAATTACTTCGCTTCCCCTTATCCCTAAGAAATACCAATACTGTAAATTACAACTAATTTTTTGAAAAAAAAACTTTATCCACTGGAAACCCAGCGCCTATGAAAACAATATTCCCCCAAATGACACATATGAAGAGCGTTCATGCCTTTATACATAGGGAATGGTGTAGGCCCAGTTAAATATCTATCATTCAATTTGTACCTGTGGTCCGCGCCTTAGAGACCTTTCCGAAACAGCACATTCACTGACAAAATACCATGTTCTGAAATATTGAACAGGGCACGATTCGCATTGAAAAATAAAGAAAGTGTGGACAAAAGAAAAAAAAAATACCCTTTTTGATTACCCTTACCCCACAGTGATCCGGCTAGTCCTTCAGATGTCAAGAATTGCTCAGAAATATATTTTGGCCCAAAATACGTGAATCCGCTCACAATAAACTGCTCACAGATGGCGCTCGCTGTGATGAACATGTACACGGGATTGGTGAAGAGCACCTGTATTGATTGACAGCACTGCTTGGCGGTTACCTTGGTTTCAAGGCCTGTAGGCGTGGTGGTCATGACGTCATTGGAGTTGTCGTCTGCAGAGGTGTGAACTTCTGATATTTTACTTTCCCGGATTTTTTTCGCGCCTAGAAATGGAAATGAAAAAAGAAATGATTATTATTATTATTATTATTATTATTATTATTATTATACAAAAGTACTATATGGTCAAAATGATACAGACGCTTTATAACATATTTCTGAAAATTCGTTAACTAGCAAAATGGTCAAATCTACTAAGAATAAATTGTTAATAAAATAAGAACAAATAAAACAAGGAAGAAATGACTGATACGCTTTGCGACAGCATGTCTTTTCACAAAGTTCTATCCTCTTTGATAAAAATTAAACTCAGATATAGCCAATGTTAATTTAATGACAAGAACCTGGCATGTCTTGCGGAAGTCCACCTATAGGGAGAATCATCATCGCCACAAGAGACGCTGCTATAATATACCCAATCCACCAAGCGCCGAGCCAGGCGTTGCTCCCCTTCTCTACAGATAAACTGTTAAATGAAACTATTGTGAATATAAACAATGTTCAAAGACGTAAAAAACAAAATTAAAGAATGCCACTGCCAATAAATTAGTAAATTAATGAATTAAATAGAGTATAATAGAATTTGTCTAACAGCAAAAACCGTTGTACCCGCTTTTTAAATATCATAAATACATAGTGAAGGTGCCAACGAAGAAATCTAAGCATTTAGGGTTGCAATCGTTAAATTGACAGAAGTTATAAAAATCCTGCATGGCTTACAAGTTGTAGTATTCATGTAGTGCTTGTAATCTTCATTGTCAATAGTACTTTTTTTGCTTAATTCTTCATTTGTGCACATCTGATCGCAATGATCTCTGATTTGTAATATAGGATCCTCCTCGGATTGTAATTAAGATTAATTTAAAAAGGGCTATGAGACTGTTATGCAAATATACTACAAAATGTGTACGTCACTGTCAGGTGGGCTGACCTGTACAGCAGCCAAACTGCGCCGCATTGGATTCCCAAAACTCTCTCGACAGAGGGTGGGGTGGAGTTTTACGTGGCCATAACACTTAAGGTGAAGTCAGAATTGTTCTAGTTGTTACGTTAGGTAGAGATTGAGGGCCAGGGGAGGTAGAACTGCCTCCTTCTTTATATCATGATATCGCTTGCGTTATTGATTACTCCCTGATGCAGGGGCGGATCCAGGATCATTTAAAGGCGGTGGATCCGCTGATGCATAGCTGATACTCCCCCCCCCCTCCTTAGCGTATATTTACTGAAGGGACCCGAAAAGTTTTGATATTTTAGAGAAAGTATGGTGCCATTTCGAACTGTGATTCAGCTAGTCGAAATTCTTATTTCGAGAGTGGACCATTGCTGTGATTTTCTCCGAAATCGAAGAGGGGGGAGGGAGGGTCAGGACCCCCCCCCCCCGACACCACCCTAAATACGCCACTGTGATGGACTCTCACCTTGCTGCGCTCAGAACGTCCGCATCCACGTAGACCTCCTCCACGATGACCGCCTGAAGGATGTAGGCCAGCACCGGGCCTAGAACACCAGTGGCGTAGAATACGGCTGTAAAGACACCACGGGGAAAGAAACATATCAGAATTACTGGAAGTAAACACCACTTCATATCCCTGTCACTCACAGTTCAGGACCGGGGGAGGGGAGGGGCAACTTCGTCTGTCATTTCCCTTCCCACACTCCAAACGTAACTGAGTTTTTACAAAGTAGGGTCATTTTACATTTTATAAAGGAGAGAAAGCATAACAGGTTCACGTGGTCGCATGGTACGGCCTATGTAAGGCAGCGTTTTCACCGACAATATTAAATATGTATACCATCACTAATATTTCATGGTCGTATTATTCTTGGATTATCTGTTGAAGTTTAAGCAGGTTGTTTGTATTTCCTGTAGTATGTATTTCCATGATAGAATGGAAAAGGCTAAAATACATTATATAGAGAACCTCAAAATTGTATCAAAAAAACTCTTGGAGGGGGGGGGACTCCCCACCCTAGGCTCCACCGCAGCCTACGACCCTGTATTCTAAAGCCTGCGTACCTACCTATACAAAAAGAAGCGTTCTCCTTGGTGAGACAGTCGTCCATGAATGTCACACCCACGGTATATATTGGGGAGGACCCTATTCCAACAAGGAAATACGACAAAACGAACAAATAAAAATAATTCGACAATCCTTTTCCTGAGAAATCAGCCAACTCTTCCCGGCCACACCCTGCAGTAGACGTGGAGTTCAAAACGCAAATATTCTCGTCAACAGATGACGCCGCAGTCGACACATATCGTCCTGTTGTAAAATGACCAAGACTGAACATAAAGGTTGCTATGGCGACCAGGGTTAGGCCAGCCGCTATGAACCGCGGCCTGTTGGTTCGTCTCCCTATGATGGCAATGACGCAGAGGGCGGGGACTGTCCCCATGTCGTAGCTGGACGAGATGATACCGGTCTGGGTGCTCGTGAGTTGGAACCGCTTCTCCAGCGTCCCTATGACAGTTGAGAGGAGACCCCCGGCCACCATGGACTGGGCGCAGTTGGCGATGCATAGGAAGGCCACCAGCCACTTGGCCGAGCTAAATACCTGGTGATGTAGAATATACAAACACATTGAGAGATTCCTGACGACTGTTTGCCAAATTATGGTTGAATTAAATTAAATTAAATTAAATAACAATAAACAAAACCTTTAAACATCTAGCAATCAGTAGAGATTAATTCCTGATTAACTTGTTGTAATCACAGTTCAGGTTATGTCCCATGATAGTTATCAGGTAGTGAAATAGTGTACTTGTAAACGTCAGGGGTACAAACTAACGAGATATTATAACATATATTGAGTAAAATATATCACATACATTCAAGTCACGTCATTCATAATTTGAAGCGTATAAAACGATCCCTAAAAGTGTATCATATTAAGATCATCAGAAAGTTATGGTTCTTAAAAATATACTAAATTTGACATTCCATGAAACTCACTATTACCTGAAGACATTTTGGTCGCCAATTAAACCAACCACATGTGACGTCAGATTCGTTGCCTAGCAACACATCGTTGCTCGCAGTATTATCATCTGGTAATGCACGTTTTGACGTCATCTTGTTGTCTGGGCTGTTAATGCAGAAAAAGAAAAATATTTTTTTCATTCTGTTGACATTTCTACTACTACTACTACTACTAAGTCCAACTGAAAATCAGTACTTTTTAATGTGGGGAATTTCATTAGGAATTGGTTCGTTATCTACGAAAGTTTTATCGGTAAACAAATCTGAAATCTTTCTGTTACAAGAAATGTTTGTTTGTTCTTATATGTCCTGGAGTAAAAGAAAAGCTTTATATAAAACAGAATATCTGGCCGGTTTTGTAATTTCCTGGCTAAGGATCCTAACGCTACGCTGTATCACTTCTCTACATGTCAATAAGTTATATTAACTATTCCTGTGTCCTCACTGAATATTGTTCAAGTCAGTATAGTATAAGTACAGGTATATCATCACCAATAATTGAATACATGAAATAAGTAACTCGCTGAAGAGCAGTTTTTGTTACAGTGTATCATCTCATTATTTTACTCATTTTCACAATCACTCGGCCCATTTTTATTCTTATTATGGATCTTAATTAAAATCCAAACTAATCTGCAGAAGAGATATAGGATACTCCCATACATGTACCAACCATGAGAAAGACTACATTCCTTGTGGATCTTGACAGTTTGTTAAAATTCACAGAGAGCAGGATGTCTCTCTGTGTGTTTGCATAATATTAATGACTTTTAATAATACGTCAATAGAATACGTTATGGATTCATTTTTTGCTAATGACTGTATTTATCACATTCGCAATGTAAAAATGCAAAATCGGAAATAAAGTACAGGAAACTAAATAAGCGCTTCATCCCCTAATACCATGACTGAGTTTACACTATAAATATTTTATGTTCAGTTGGGTGCAACCAATTAGAAAGTAACAAAATTTAAAAAAAGAATTAGGTACTGCAGAGTGATATCAAGTCGTATTTCTCGGCCTGAAAGAGAGACCCGACATTTCCTGAGCGGCGTAACACAGCACATTTTAAATGTCTTCCTTTTCCCCTTGCGGCGTCATTATCTAGTGTAGAAATCACGCCTTAATTACGGCGCCCTTGGTACTGTTAGTTATGTAGTCGCTTCCTGGCGAGATACACAATGATATCACATGCAGGTCAATGAGACAGGGATTGAGACGAGGCTCTCGGGGATGTGGGGGGTGGAGGTGGGGTATATACTTCCATATTCAGCTCACCTCGACCAATCAGATCGCACAAAGTCATTAAGTGCCGCGATAAGGTGCGTTACACCTACGATGAGGCATACATAATGCATGCAGTACTTATTTAACTCTTGATAATTTTTTTTTCAAACCGGCTACTACTGCATCGTCTACCACCAAGGTGAAGGGAATCAATTACTTGAAGGCAACACATGGACAATGGATAAGGTTGATATTCAGACCGAAGTTGGTAATTTTACCAGCAACTCAAGCGGCGCCTCTCTTGGCAATCTAAGCAGGTATGGTTTGGGCGACATGAACGATGCCGAGCTCTCCTCCGAGCAGCAATGCTGGCTGACCGGGAGGACATGTTTTTGTAACACTGTGTACGCCCTGACAGCCATTGGTTTGGTTGGTAACTTCCTCACCTTCCTGGTGGTTCTTCGACGTCCGAGTCTTAGACAGAAATCCACTTTCGTTTACATCCTGTTCCTTGCCGGCGCGGACCAGCTCCGTCTCCTGCAGCAGTCGTTGGAATGCATCGTGTTCACAAGGAGACTGAAACTGTCGTGTGAAGCTTTTGTTGTCATAGCGATTATTTTGAAAAGCGCATTCTATTTGCTCTGCTTCGTCTACATATTAGCGCTAACTGTAGAGAGACTTATAATAATCTTCAAACCACTCCAAGCCACTTCCCTGTGCACGAGACGGAAAGCTCTGCTGACGTGTTCTGGTCTTGCAGTTTTGATCTTCTTAATTACTTCTCCAAATATAACATTATGCTACGCACCTTCAGCAACATTAATTTATATATTCACCGGTTTAGAGTACACACTGTGGTTCGCAATCGCAATCGCCATTACTGCGATGACGGTCGCTATCGTGTGGAAGCTGAGGAAGAGTTATTCTTTAAGGCGGCAACTGACCGGCCCAAAGCAGCGCAGTGCTGGCAAGGAATCGACGAACAGTAAAGTGAACATTTTATTGTTAACGACACTGACAGCGTTCGTCGTGATCACCGGGCCTTTAGTAATCTTCCAAATCTACCGGATTACCGTAGTTGGGTTTAATTCCGTAGGTGTCACTTCCACAGAACATCACTTCATATGGTCAGTATTGTTCCTGATAAGTTTGCTGAATCACAATACTAACTTTTTTCTTTATGTCGGGTCGGCTCGGATTTTTCGAGACGAGTTGGTGAAACTTTTTATGCAGTGTATCCGTTATCGTTGTTGGAACGCTGACACACCAATTGGGAGTGCTGAAAACGATGGTCACTGCTTGAGCAGACAAAGAGCGTCCACTACAGAGACAACAGGATCCACTTCTACCGTGATTAGCTCCTCATGAGGCTACTCGGTATTTACACTCATCGTCAAGTTTGTAAATATAAAAGGCGGGCTGTATAAAAAAAAACAAAAAAAAAACAGTTAAGACGAAAAGGGAACTGCCACAAGTTTTGACCAGAAAAAAGAAAGAAAAGGTGTTTTTACTATGAAAAACCCAGCTTGAGTGCCTATGATGGGCCTACGTGAAAGCATCGACAAATTACATGTATATCGCAGCCATCATTTCCATAAATTCCAAGCGAGTCTTCAATCAAGTCAAGTGAACACTGTGACATTGCTATTATGCAGTTCTATCTTGTATAAGATATAGTACTAATCAGTGGCATGATAAGGTGGCAGTAATGACCAGTGTGTGCATATATACATGTAATTTCTCCATATCAAATTACAGTGCACATGTATATATCCGGTCATGTTTCGGAAGTGATTTCCGGAAAGTCGCTGAATATAATTGGATGGACATTTTAGATTAATGAAGAAAGTCTCCTGGGAATATATATGTGTATATAATTTATAAGCTGTTGCTTAATTAATTATATACATACATGTGTAATGAAAGGGAAGCCTGCTTATTAAAGTACATGTACAAAGTACAAGTTTATTAGAAACAAAGTTTATAAGGTTTATCTGATTGACATTTTAAGTTGTACATAAATAAAACAAGGAATATTGAGAAAGAAAGGAAAGGTCTTGATTAAATCTTAGATTAGACTATGATTGTACCTTGCATTTATTTTTTATTTTGATAAAGTATATTCCGTTTAAGTTACAAAATGGAGTCGCTTCATTCTTTTCCGTGTGCACAGTTTCAGACATAGAACCTGCTGGAAATCTCCATAGCAGTTATAAGATCGCGTTATCCAAAGACAAGACTCCGTAATGCCCAGCTCACTAGGGTAATATATATGCATGTATGTCATTAATTGTCGACGTGTTCAGGGTCCCTCCCACCGGGTGGTTATCTCCCCGGTCCGCGGCGACGGTTTAGCTGATAGCCGCCTCGTTATCTTCCGGGCCATTAAGGCCATAAATTTACCGCTTGTTATAACTGGTGTCGACACAACCATGGTTTTCACTCGTCCGTGATGGACTGTTACCAGACTGTCACCAGATACACGCCTCGCCAAGCATTCAAGCACCGGGGTAGAGCTTCTCTGCCACATTCAAGACATTCCCAACACATTTTGTCATTCATATTACTCACACAATTGGTTTTTTATAAGAATAAAATTGAGTTGAAGCAATGGCAATTTCCACTATCTGTATCATTCAAGGACCTCCTATTCACTGGCTTTATACATAAAGTAAAGCGGAACGCCTTTGTGATAATTCCCACGCACCATTTGCGTTACTCTATCATTTTTAATAATATATTTGTAGTTATCATGCTGTAGTTTACTGTTTAATATTGTGAGATCCTCTTAATTTTACAGTTATCATGTTGTAGTTTACAGTTTAATATTGTGAGATCTTTTTAATTTTATAGATATCAGGTTGTAATTTAGTGTTTAAAGCTGTGAATTCATCCCTATTTAAATAATTTTATCCATATGTACATTTTCACCAAACTGGTGCACACGTAAAATACACGTCAATTTCTCGTCTTTAATAGTTTTTGCATTAGCTATCAATCTGGCGAAGTGAGGCAGCTTAGATTGAGTTAGTTGGTTTGATTAAAAACTTTTACACAACTTTCAACGAAAATCAAACAAATTTCTGTGGGTCTGCATTTGTGGTTTGTTGTGCTATTTTACTTTTGTATATCTTGTGGATGTTAACTGTTGGTACACATTTCTTTCATTTACTATAAACTGTGCAATTTCAGATACTCTCCTTCCACCTAAATAATGTAAGTAAGTTATATATGTACCTGTATTTTACACAGGGTTATCATGTTTGATTGAGAACATACATTTTAAACCACTGTTTAGTGAGCAATATTCTTACGTCCAACACTCTCACTCTCGATCTTCTAACGTCCCTACAACATTACACCCCCTCATCCTTCCCCCCCCCCCCCCCCAGCAAAATCATAATATTACCCGCATCGACACGCGTTCTCTTTGGAACTTCACCGCAACGAACTTAGGTCATCATTCGCGTGTTGATGTACAAACAACAAAACGCTACACAGACACAGCGTTAGTGCACAAAATATAATACATAAGAATGTCTATATTTAATTACGGTTAACTTATTACACACACACTGCTCACACACACACACACGCACACACACACACACACACACTGCTCGGCACAGTTATACACAATTACAGCACATATGTCGCCTGTCGCAAGTCTTCACCGTTAAATCCAGCAAACATTTGCTACAACTGTGCTATAGTCCCCAGCGAGATAAGAGCACGCCGTGTGTGTTGGTAAAGTTAGCTGGCGGCCAGTGCTGGGTACACCCCCTGGGTAATCATTAACCCGGCCACGCCCTCTGGATGTTTACTCTTGATAACTGAGTTTAACCCAGCGGAGTGATGCAGTGGGCGTACCCGAGACTAGGACAGGCCTACCCAACTACCATACTCGGCACATAAGGATCCTGAATTAACCGGTATATCGGACCACACTACCCGTTTTCGAGGTGTGTGTCAGATCGCATTTCGGAGTATCATATCCCAGAACAATTTTGGTAGGACGACCGCGGGCTCATCCTGTCGGTGCTCTGACTTATACTCCGCAATGCGATCTGACACACACCTTGAAAACGGGTAGTGTGGTCCGATATACCGGTTAATTCAGGATCCTTATGTGCCGAGTATGGTAGTTGGGTAGGCCTGTATAGGGGCTACCACTGGGTGATACAGGGGTGGGGTTGGGGAACGTGGGCTGGGTACAGACAGCGGATAACAGTGTTTACCTCCCATCCTACCCCCTCACACACACACACACGCACGCGCGCGCGTTCACACTGTGTCGCACAGAGCGGACGAGGGAGACGCCATACACAAGGACGGGTTCCATTCATAAACGAAGAGAAAGCACTGATCTGAGACCTGTAAAGAGTACGAAGATGAAAGCCCAAACCCGCCTCGGCTAAAGATTGACCTGATTGGTAGATGGGTGGGGTCATTGCCCTTGTTATTATAAAATCTAATGCTGAACTCTACTACATGTACATGTATGTCTGATGCAGCCAAAACGAAGTACAGGAACGCCCCCTTTGCCCCCCCCCCACCCCCCCACCCACCCACCCAGACTCGCCTTTATTAGCCTCTATACTTACTTTATACAATACATGTATTTCACAGATACTAGTAGCTTTCGGGGGATTATTCCGGCTCACCTGAGATGACGTCTCACACAAGTTCTCGTCAAAGAATATGTGCAGTACAGACATATAGTGTATAGAAAGCTAACATTCTCTCTTGAACCTATCACTAATCTTCTAAGTCATCGAGAAAGATATCACAGGTGTCAGTCCCCTCGATAGTATCCAGTAAAGATGGTGTCACACAGGCACGGGCGGTGTCATAGGGTATATACACATGGACTGGCACATACACCAACACGGAACTAAATATTTACCTGTGCCCAGTAGCTCAGTGACACAGAAAATTATTGTATGCAGTTAACGTAAATCATTAGTTACATAAATGTGACTTAAACGCGGTGCACTTACCTAGATGACGCATTATTAAGTTAGTGCGTGGTCATTTGAAGTCACACATACTTCTGGTCGTGCATGGAGTCCCCGTCATATACGTACAAATGTTTATGTATACGGCGTGCATATGTAACCCTTCACGTGCTGAGATTCCCTTACAGCGCTCCTACCTATCTGCATAGAGCGGGCGACGACCGCTACTACAGTACCCCGGTTTTCAATAAGTAAATAGAATACTTCACCTGGTGGCCGGGGTAGCATTGTTGTTATACAAACAGCGCATAGAACGCTTGGTGGCTGTGAAATATTGAAGTATGAACAGAGTGGATTAGAATAGAGTTCTTTTTATTAATATATGTAAAATACAAGGAAAACGCACACAGTTGTAATTGCGCCCTTATTCTTTTTCCGTGTGTGTTATTTTTTTTTGTTAACGTTACACATTGCCGTTCTTAATTCAGTCATATGGAATGCAGTGTAGAAGATAGCTTGAATCGCGGACGCAATTCGGGACAGGTGAAATAAACAATTTTGTGTACCTGGATAAATGCGCTTGCGTACTGGGTCAGTGTCGCGCTGTTCGTGACCCAATTACTCCACTCTTTGTTGACATGTTGAACATGGAGGCTTAACGCCATTATAAAGGATTTATACCTCTGTAAAAGACCGCATTCCACGAGCAGCAGTGTGTCCGCCAGCCCATGGACGGCTAGTTGATCGGGTGATATCTTCACATTTAACAGATCACACTTCAGAGTTTGAGTAGCGGTGGTAACAGGATTACAGTAGGTCTAGAATATAACAGCACAGGGCTCAGTCGCCCCCTGTAATGCACCTGGTTGCTATTATAACGAGTGACTGCATCGCTGCAGCATATGAGGTGCCACTTAAAGCGGATAGTGTATGGCATCTCCTTGACATGTTTTCTCGTTGGAATTTGGACGTATATAAAATCGTATAGCGGAGGCACGCAGACTGTTAACTTATACCAAAATGACGCCCTTGCCGCCTCTGCCGCGGGACTTAAGCTTATCCTGGTGTACACCGGATTGCCGGCGGGGATGCAAGCAGGACAGAAACAATTCAACGCAGATGACTGCCCTGTTAAGAACTGCTTCGTGACAGCGGATAGGACAATGGCGTCGAAGGCAGACGCTATCCTTTTAATGGGCCAGGCAGTCAAACCTTGGCACCGGAAACCCTGGCACCAGATCTGGATCCTGTACCTGCTGGAGTCCCCCCACCACACCCCCAGGCTGGAGGGGCTGAACAACCTAATCAACTGGACGGTCAGTTACAGGACCGACTCCACACTCATGGCTCCATACGGCTCTTATGTTCCGTATGGTAATATGACTACCGGCCAAGACTCCGTCTTCAACACACCAATGAAGAAGAATTATGCAGCGGGGAAGACTAAGAAAATCGCATGGTTTGTCTCCAACTGTGGCGGGGACAGGAACGGTCGGAGACGTTATGTAGATGAGTTAAATAAACACATGCCCGTGGACATTTACGGGGGATGTGGCATTAAGACGTGTTCAAAGGAGGACCCCCGTTGCCTGGATATTTTGGACAGGGACTACAAGTTTTATTTATCGTTTGAAAATTCGAACTGCAGAGATTACATCACTGAGAAGTTCTTTTTGAATGGTTTAGGGTAAGGGGAATCAATCTGGGCTCCTGTTTATAGGATAAAGAAGGCAGATCGGTGCTGGAAAAATAACTTTTCTTGTGTTTCTGCCAACATCAAAGACGAGTCTCATTTTTGCCCACGTCGTTTTCACTTGATTCGGACGTTTTTCTTGTATACATGTACTAGTAAGCATAACGGCGCACATGTGCCGTAAAATTGCAGAAACTTCCCTGACTGTCCTCTGCACAGTACGAGTACATTACATTTGCATACAATATAAGGTTCTAATGATTTTATACCCTAAACAGTTGTGGTTGTTTTTTATGCCACGCCCTTTTTTCTCATTTTTACCCTTTTTTCCGTCCTACGTACCATCTGTCTTTGTTTAACCCTGTCCGCCATTCTACGCCCCACCCTCTCCCGTCTCAAATACTTTTTCGTCCATCTCTGCCTCTAAATATGAGAAGTCATTGGATGAAACTGCCTATAACAAGTATTATTTTTACGAATTCCTTTTTTAGGCACGACATCATACCAATCACGATGGGGGGTCGCCCAGACGACTACAAGAGGGCAGCACCTCCGCACTCCTATATCAACGTGGATGACTTCAAAAGCCCCAAGGTTTTGGCTGAATATCTGCACAAACTCGACAAAAATGACGATCTTTACAACGAGTATTTCCGCTGGAAGAGCTCCTTTCATTCGGTGAACACGTTCTTCTGGTGCCGCCTGTGCAGGAAGATGCACGAGGTGGGAAAGAGAAAACCCACGTGGTATAAGAATCTTGACCAATGGTGGCGAGGGGATGGGGTGTGCTCGCCAGGGAGGTGGGAAGATGGACACTCCTATGTATAATATATAGTCTAGAGGGGAGGGGGTATGCTGGCCAGGAGGTGGGAAGATAGACGCTCCTATGCATAACGTCCTTGTAAATATACTACCACCGGTTCACTTATTGGCATGGTAATCAAAGACTTGCGAACCGATCTCTTGTGGAGAACAGACTCTTTATTACTTTATACTTAATACACAAAGACGTGGAAGATTCTATGTCTTATCCTCAAAAACAGGTGCTATCAAAATCAGGTGCTAAATCCGTCAACTGGGATGCGGCCGCCACGACCCCTGCAAGTCAGTGTAAACCTCCCGTAGTAGAAGTCAGCCACCGCCGGAAAGAACACTCAACCAACTAACGCACAACCAACACAACACCGCCCAGATAGCAGGTTGGAGGGTTACAGGTCTTGGTCTAAACCGTAAGCGGTGACTGTCATGTAAACGAACTCTAGTGTAATGATCTTTATTCTTTTCATTTACCCTCTCCTCTTCATGAAAAGTCTTTCTGAGGGAAATAAAACCTAGTAGTATAAACGTATTATTACTTTTACTCTTCGTTATTGCTTTGGACGGAGCAAAACTCTTCTCGGACGGAAGGTTATATAACACGACAGTGTTATAGTTTTAAAACAAAATATTTCATTTTCGTAATCACTTATTTAGTAAATCATAACAACATTTTGGAATAAAGTATTATTACCATTAGGTACTTCATCTACATGTATGGAGTCCGGGTGTGCACAATAAAAATTCTCCAGTGCACAGAAACCAGAAAATATGTGTTGGTAGTAATTTCTCAGAGAGGCGTCATTGCAAATCACATTAGCCCACATCATAGTACGGCAGACCCACAATTATTATTATTATTATTATTATCATTATTATTATTATTATTATTATTATTATTATTATTATTAATTTAAATAGGCCCCGCTCCTTGTATTACAATTGATATTAGTTTGCATTTTAATTGTTACAATTAACAATAAATAACAAGTGATCGTGACACGTACATTGAAATCATGACAGTCACAGTAGAAATATTTCCTACAAGTACCTCTACTGTATGTCCAAAGTAGGAAGCTCTAATCTTGTTCTGCATTTATCAAAAATTAAACAGTTTTGCATAACACAAAAGTTTCTTTTGTGTCCATTATTCTCAAAATATATATTCATTCTGTTCATATTGCAATTACAAATAACCCGTTCCTATTTTACTCTGAGGTACAAAAGACACACGAGAAGAAATGTATTCCAGTTCCGATTCCACCGTGGCAACATGGACATACCGTTTCATCCCCATCCATTTTCTTGTGCCTTTGCTTAAAATATAGTCACTTATTATTTACTTAAAGTGTTAAATCCGACTATGTTCAATATACTTTACAATGAAAAGATAAGAAAAAGAAAGGAAAAGAAAATTTCATGCAAATTATGCAGAATTAAAAGTCCGTACGCGTTATTTCATTAACTTAAAAAGCCCATTAATGTTTATAAAACATTTTAGAGTCATAAAATTTCAGTTATAATTTAACAAAAATGTCTATCATTCCTTTTTAAAAGAATCCGGGAAGGCCATACTAAGAGTATTTCATTCGTGTGTGCTGCAACTTTCACAGAGTTATCCCGAGTGTGACAAGGTTTGCCTTGCACAGTGCTAAAAACAGATGACCAGAGGAAGGGGGGGGGGGCGGGGGTCGGATGGGGTGAGGGGGGGGGTACCCTCTACTAGGGCCACAGATTGATTTTTTCTTTCCTTTTTTCATATTTTTTTATTGACACAATACATCACGAATACATGACAATACAAAAATAAAGAAGGGAAAAGCATTCGCTCACACACTCACATATAAGAGTTGTTGTACTATGACACTTTTTAATTAATTACATCTTCGTACGCTAATTATTCAAATTGAAAATAACTTAATTATATTTGAAGTGTACTGACAGAGTGACTTATCTGTTTTCACCAGATATCTAAGCGATGAAATCAAACTTCCTAATGTTGGTTTACCCTGTGAACACCTTCTTAAGTAAATATAACATTTAAATTGCAACATAATGAGATTAATAATTGATGAGAGGCTCGTAGAGCCAACTAAGCAATTCCTTTTTGAGACAGGTAGAGTAACTTGAGTATTGAATAATATATATTCTACCAAATCGGTCAGTAATTTTTTTGGGAACCGACAGATTGATTTTCACTACACATTCACAGATGTGTATTTGGTTGAATTCACGGTTATTCTCTGTGCTGCCTCAGCGAAAATAACTACATAATAATAACTACGGCCCTGGTAGAGGGTAGGTTGGTGGGGGGGGGGGGGGGGGGGGCAGGGCGAGGGGTCTCTGCCGCGAAGCCGACCATCACCCCTTGGTGTGGGGTTCGGGGCCTGTTGAAAGGTCCCAA